TCCATCGGTGGGTCGACCCGTGGGTTCTATAGAGGACGGTAACGGCTTTCTACTAACTGTGACTCGTTCTGTGTCTCGTTCGTGTCAGGTACTCTGGGTCCCGTGTCTGAGACGTGTCCCTCCCTGTCTCCCTTCAACAAGGGCGCCGCCTTCTGCGATCGTTGTTGACATACTCCTACATCGCCACGCCTGTAAACCCGTGAGCCATCCCGGCGGGTTCCTCAATAACGCTACCCCCTGCAGCCTCTTGTGAGCCGAACTCCGCGGACCACCTCGGCGGTTTGCTACAATGACGATGCCTTCTGTGGTCGCTGTCTACAAGTTCCCCTGCCAAACACCTTCGGTTCGGCGTGCCGCCGCGGTAGACTTTGTGATCGCTTTGCCTTCCCCAGCCGCTTGTCATGTTTTTTTTTTTTTTTTTTGCGGACCGTCCCAGCCGCTTTTCTACAAGCGCCCCGCCTTCCGCGGTCACTGTTTATATGCTCCTAATCAAAGCCTTAAGTTCGGTGTGCCGCCGCGGCGGGCTTCCTACGCGCACTGCCTTCCGCGGCCGCTTGTCATGCATTCGTGCCTCCCTTAGTGGACCGCCGCTGCGGGTTTTCTACAAGCGCCCCGCCTTCCGCGGTCGCTGTCTATATGCTCCATAATCAAAGCCTTAAGTTCGACGTGCCGCCGCGGCGGGCTTCTAACGCGCACTGCCTTCCGCGGCCGCTTGTCATGCATTCGTGCCTCCCTTAGCGGACCGTCGCTGCGGCTTTTCTACAAGCGCCCCGCCTTCCGCGGTCGCTGTCTATATGCTCCATAATCAAAGCCTTAAGTTCGACGTGCCACCGCGGCGAGCTTCCTACGCGCACTGCCTTCGGCAGCCGCTTGTCATGCATTCGTGCCTCCCTTAGTGGACCGCCGCAGCGGGTTTTCTACAAGCGCCCCGCCTTCCGCGGTCGTTGTCTATATGCTCCATAATCAAAGCCTGAAGTTCGGCGTGCCGCCGCGGCGAGCTTCTTACGCGCACTGCCTGCCGCAGCCGCTTGTCATGCATTCGTGCCTCCCTTAGCGGGCCGCCGCAGCGGCTTTTCTACAAGGGCCCCGCCTTCCGCAGTCGCTGTCTTTATGTTCCATAATCAAATCCTTAAGTTCGACGTACCGCCGCGGCGGGTTTCCTACGCGCACTGCCTTCCGCGGCCGCTTGTCATGCATTCGTGCCTCCCTTAGCGGACCGCCGCAGCGGCTTTTCTACAAGCGCCCCGCCTTCCGCGGTCGCTGTCTATATGCTCCATAATCAAAGCCTTCAGTTCGGCGTGCCGCCGCAGCGGGCTTCCTATGCGCACTGCCTTCTGCAGCCGCTTGTCATGCATTCGTGCCTCCCTTAGCGGGCCGCCGCAGCGGATTTCCTACAGGGGCCCGGCTTCCGCGGTCGCTGTCTTTATGTTCCTAAATCAATTCCTTAAGTTCGACGTACCGCCGCGGCGGGCTTCCTACGCGCACTGCCTTCCGCGGCCACTTGTCATGCATTCGTGCCTCTCTTAGCGGACCGCCGCGGCGGATTTTCTACAAGCGCCCCGCCTTCCGCGGTCGCTGTCTATATGCTCCATAAGTCACGCCTTCAGTTTGGCGTGCCGCCGCGGCGGGCTTCCTATGCGCACTGCCTTCTGCAGCCGCTTGTCATGCATTCGTGCCTCCCTTAGCGGGCCGCCGCAGCGGATTTCCTACAGGGGCCCGGCTTCCGCGGTCGCTGTCTTTATGTTCCTAAATCAATTCCTTAAGTTCGACGTACCGCCGCGGTGGGCTTCCTACGCGCACTGCCTTCCGCGGCCACTTGTCATGCATTCG